AAAATTGTTCATAAATTTTGCGTTTAACAGTAGCAGAAAGGCAACGGCACAGCCAGCTAAAATTGGAGGCCCCCATACAACTCCGTGGAAGGCTTGGGGGCAAGAAAATGGCTAAATGAAATGATTGCGAGCGGGTAAAAATTGGGTATAAATGGATGCCCTTTAGGGGCGCAAAAATCGGAGAGGGCGTCTTTTTCTCTTTATTTCTGAGAATTAAAATGGGGCTAGAAAGGAATTTATTTTTAAGTCTAAGAGAACTATTAAAAGAAAATTTACAGCATAAAAAAAATATCCTTCTAAAAGTTTAAAATTCTTGCAAAAAATAAATAAATATAATATAAATAAATATAAAATAAAAGTACTATGCTAAAAAAAAACACAAAATATTTCCACATCTAAATATCTAAATACACCTTTTAAAATGATGTTGAGAGGTTTCTTTGAGGATCTTCCCTATCCTCCAAGCTTTTATGTATACATTTTAGAAGTTAATGAATAGATAATCGTTTATTTATTCCTCTAATAAATTCGTTGTAGTGCCAAAAAACTATCCAAATCAATATAAAAGTGCTTGCAAATTCCCCCTGTAAATGTGCTGCTTAGCTGCTGCAGGGCATTCCCATTACCCTAAGGCTTGCCACACAGCCTCTCAGGTACATAATTTAGTGCAACTCAACGAAATATGATTTCACAAATCCGACAGATGCATTGGCCATGGACCATGAAAGCGCAACAGACACACAGAGAGGGAGTGAGAGCGTGGCAAATGAATTACAATTTTGCTCATCTGCCTTTCGCTCATTATGATGCCATACATTTATAGATTTATATGCATATGAATGAATGAGCGAATGAATGAATGAATGTATCGTATATTTCTAATTAATAACACACTAAAATGTAATCAACAATGTTAATTAGGCACATCCGCCGCTGCTGCTGCTGTTGCTGTTGCTGCTGCAGCAACTTATTCGGCGGCATGTTGTCACCTCCACTCATTCGTTCAACTCCAAGTTTCATTCATAAAAATCAGAGACAGATACTCAAGCGATACCGAGGCGCAGTCTGCAGCCTGCCCACACACGGCACAAAATGTTAGCTTGAATTTGCATTTGTTCGAAGTAGTAAAAAATAAAAAAACGCTGTCAAAATGTATTCCCCCCCAAAAGAATTGCCAAACCGGTTAATGGGTTTGTTGTTTCGGTTATGAAACTGTTTGTTGTGTATACTTTTTTACAGTTTGTCGTTTCGATGTTCGATGTTTCTTTTTTATTTATGAATGAAGCGTAAAATTTGCATTTGGTTTTACACTCCAAGATTACTCATACGACCCAGTGAGCTGCAAAAAAAAAGGCAGCGCGCGGGAAGATGAGCACGGAACCTGAACAATTGTTTAGTTTAGTTCCGCTGAAAAAATAAGCTAGAAAAAAAATACCGCCAGCATCCACTTATGAATCAACATTCCCCCGCGACAGGTGTGCCAAAAACTGAATCATCTGACACAGCAGATAGCAACAAGCAACAAATGCCTGATTTAAATAAGCAATTTGAATTATTATTAATTTATTATTTCCGGTGCAGCGACGAGTGAGATGAGTGGCTTTTAATACAGCGACAAAGCTTTTTAAATGGTGGTTTTTTTTAGGGCATAGATTGTCATATATATTTCAGAAATGATTGCCAAACAAATGTTTGAACATCTTTCCATTCAAAACAAATAATAAATGCTTTTAAAATTAGCTAGTTGCTTAACATATCTTCTCGCTATTTGTATTTATTTTTATTTTGAGTATTAAAACACTTGTCAGTTGTCTCTCTTTTATGTCAGCGTCTAAATGAAAACCTCTCTGTTTGGCCCACCACTCCAAAGGCCTTTCCAAACAAAATAGCAACCAAAAGACGAGGTCAAACTCGAGCTGTGTGCAATCGGACCAAAGACTGAAAGACTGTACTGACTGACTGACGGGGCACCACGATCTGGCTCTGGCGTTGGCTTGGGCGAGAGATCGACCAACCGATCAGGCCATAGACAGGCAATTTGTAGACTTTTAAAATGATTTCAAATGGTCCAAGCTAGCAGGCTGCCCCAACAGACCTGTGCTTTGTCCAGCGGATCGCCAGGCCAGCCGATCGACAACTACAAAAAAAAACAAAAAAAAAAAACAAACACACACACAACAAAAAGCGCATGCAAATTAATAGCCAACTTTGGCCAAAAATTAATTGATCACTCGGGACAGGCCAGCAGCAGCAGCAGCAGCGGACGAAGGAGATTGCAGACCACAGACCACAGACATCTGACAAGACGATAGACAGGGCGACAGACCAGACCCAGGCCGATCGATCGATCTCTATACAGCAAATGGCCTGAACGTGGATTGTACACTTGAAGCAAAATGTTTAAGGAATTTTTTTAAGGTTTTAAAAGTAACGAAAAACAGGAGGCTAAATGTGGCTGCGCTTTGGAAAATAAGAAAATTCTTTAAATATTATTTTAAATTCATATTTAAAATTCATTTGAAGGTGCTGAAATTTTTGGTTTCGGTGTAGGGTTTGTTTGCCTCCAAATTACGAGGTACATATGCCTGCAAGTGCCCGCATATTTTTGTACAGATCAGACGATCATACGAACAGACGTTGGAGACTTCCTAGCCGGTAGCTGACTCGATTAAGCGGCTAGTGAAATGTTTTTTTTGTTTTTTTTTTCTCTCTCTACTCTGAACAAATTTCAATTAACATATTCACGCAATAATTGCAGGGGTCGCTCGCAGGGGTCTCTTGCCCACGTTGTCTGTGTGTGTGTGTGTGTGTGTGTGTGTGTGTTTTTTGTGGTCACTGCCGACCCACGCTTTTGATCCACGTGTCAAACTTCCGATCATTAGGAGGATAGACAGAGAGAGAGAGAGAGAGACACACCCACACACACACTCTATAGCATACGGCGGGGCCCTAATTAATAAACAGACAAAACAATTTTTTTTGAGAGGTCCCCTCACAAAACAATAAAAACGTAGAAATTGATAAATTATCAAAAAATTCAGTTTAGCGTGTGCCTAAGACACAAAAGATATTGAGATTAATCATTGGAACAGCCAGCCAGCCAGCCAGCCATCATCATCATCTGCATCTGCTGATCTGATGTTTTGTGCGTTGGCGAACTTCGATGGGTCGTCTGTCGTCTAATGCTGCATAATTAATGGATCTCCACATGGAAAGCGATGAAAATTGTGTCGTGTAATCCAGTGGGTCATTGGAAAATAAATGTCCAAGAAAGATGAAAGCTGCAAGGGGTACATTTTGTTGTTGTTGCTTGAATAATTCGATATGGTTGGAGTTTTTTAATTGGGTTGGAGTTTTAAATTCTAAAACAATAACAGAGCATTAAACAACATGAAAACATATAACAAAGTATATATAGAAAAAATATGTTTTAATATGAATTTTTGGAGCAAAGATAAATGAAATATTTTTGGGCAGAAAAAATGCTTTTATTATGCGTCTTCAAAGACACATTTAAGGGCGTTCATTACGCGGATCAATATATGAGAGAAAGATCAGTAAAGGCATCTCCTGAATACTCACAATCTTTGCTCGAAACTAAAATGATTTCTGAGCGAGAAAAAATATACAAAGACAAAAAGAAAATCCCAAAATGATCTACCAATATTCACTTAATTATATCCTAAATCCTTCATAATACTAAAAATAATAGATAGTCTAACAAATCGATCGAATGGAAATAAATAACCGTAAGCCCTAAAGATCCGACACTTCTCCCAACCATTTAGTGCTCGTAATCACAGCCATTACCCTGTGAACTTTAGCGCCAAACATTTCGGTGAACCTGTAAGTACGTTAATGTTTAATTTAAATATGCCCCAATGGTCATGCCTCATAACCACACAATGTTGCAATCGTTTAAGCCACAGAGAGAGATCTAACTAACTCGGCCAACATTTGCCTGCCGGCAGACGCTTTGCAAATAGGTTTGCTCCCCCACCAAAAACGCAAAAACAAAAACAAAATTTGCCACAAATCTCGCTGCAATTACAATACTTTATAGACTTATATTTCTTTGGCCATAAGCCTCAGCGCTTGTATTATCGTCTAATTGCATCGCCAGGCAGGCAGCGGACTCCAAACCGACTCCGACGACGCTCTTGGCATTTAGCGCGTCAACAAACGAGCCGCCGCCACCGCTGCGACCCCCAGAGACCCGAGACCAGAGACCCCAAACACCGACCCCATCCACACCTCGGCAACAGGCAGCGTGTTTTGTTGGGGAGGGGGGTAAAAAAAAAAAGAGTGGACCGCAGGCCGTTCCATTCATCATTTTTCCGTTTAGTGACGCGCGTGCCTCGTGCGGTTCAAATCGAGTGTTCTTTTTTGTTGTTGTTTTGTTTTGCTTTTTCACAGATTTTCCCAAATTGAGACGTCATGATCTCGTCGTCGTCGTCGTCGTTGTTGTTGTCTGTGAGATTGGTGGGTGCATAGATACAGCTACAGATATAGATACAGATACGTACAACATTTATTTGTTTCATAAGGCACTTTTTGGGTGTGTGTGTGTGTGGGGGGCATGCAGCGCTCTAAACTTAAAGTTAAACATACATTTAACATTTAGTAGCAAGTATAAAACTGCAGAATACTACAAAGATCAGTACAGAATAGAAATACAACAGACAGAAAAAATACAACCGATTGCCTTAAGGATAAAACTTAAAATCCTAAAGAAAGCAGCTCAACCGAGGTGCACTGCTGCATGTCCCTTTTGCAATTTGGATCATTCTATATATATATATATAATATATAAAGTAAAGTACATTTTAAGGTATGCTATCAACTAATTCTAATAATAAATTCGTGTTGCTTTTTGGTTTACGCCTTTGGTGCAATTTTGGATGCGTTATTTAAATAGATTTACATACTTATAGGCGAGTTATATACAGTATTATCATTTCAAAAGATCGTTTAAAAATCATTTCAAATAAAAGATTCAGTGTTCAAAGATCCTTTACAGATCGTTCTTATGGCGTTTCAATGATCGTTTTGTGTTCTCTTAACGTAATGATATCGCAACATTTGCTCAGCATCCGATTCATCTTCCTCCTCATCGCTGGTCGAGGGTGGTGTATCCAAATTGGCAATATCCACATCCAGATAATCCTCTTTGGCCTGCAGCAGCTTATCCATGTACTCCACAATTTCCGTAAAGGGCGGTCGATCATCGGCATTGAAATGCCAACACTGTCGCATCAGAATGTAAATGTTCATCGAGCATTTGGCGGGCTTCTCCATACGCTGGCCGGACATCAAATAGCTGTAGAGCTCCTCCGCAGACATTATGGTGGGATAGGGCTGTGCCCCGAAGGTCATAATTTCCCACAACAAAATGCCGTACGACCAGACATCGCTCTTCGAGTCGTAGAACTTCTCCTGCAGCGATTCGGGTGCCATCCACTTGATGGGCAGCCGTCCATTGGTGTTTTTGCGATAGTATTCCGTGCTCTGGATGTCTCTGGCCAGGCCAAAGTCCGCGATCTTCAGCACATAATCATCGCTGACGAGTACATTGCGTGCGGCCAGATCGCGATGAATGCAACGCCGCGAGGCCAGGTAGTCCATGCCACGTGCAATTTGATGGGCAAACTTGATCAGATCCTTTTCGGTGATGATGTGCGCCGGCGGCGATGGCGGTGGCTGTGAGCTGTCGCCCTGCTCCCGTCCAAAGGGTCGATTCTTGTAGAGGAAATCCTTGAGATTGCCATGCGGTGCATATTCGACAATGACATAAAGCGGACCGCTCTGGCTGCAGCAACCCAGCAGATTGATGATGTTGATGTGACGGCCAATGATCTTCATTACCTCCATTTCCCTCACCAGGCTGGCAATATCATCGTCGGTGTGTCCCTCCTTGACCATTTTGACCGCGACAATGGCACTGTTGACCTCGGCCATGACCACACGGCCAAAGGCGCCCTCGCCCAGTGTGGCGCCCAGCACCAGTTGTCCACGCGGCAGCTCCCAGTTGGAGTCGAGCGGAAATTCGTACTCGTTGAAGGGCGCCGGTTCGTTGCCGCTTTGCAGGACTGTGGTGCGCTGCTTCTGTATCTTCACCACGGGCATGATCATGGTGTCCATGGAGCCGCTGGAATCGCCGCCACCCTCGGGCTTGAAGATGATCACCTTTTTGGTCCACTGATGCACCGTTTCGATGCGTTGCTTGAGCAGCTTCTCGTGCTTCATCTTGCGCACGGCATAGTAGCCAAAGAAGAAGCACATGAGAATGAGCAGCCCAATCACAATGATGACAATGACCACCATGCCATTGTTACGCATCATGCCACTGGCCATGCCCGCCTCCAGCAGATGCAGGCTCCGCACCACACGCAAATAGGCGGTGCTATTCGATTGGCCCAGACTGTTGCTCTCGATGCACGTGTACCAGCCCTCCTGCTCCATGGTGACATTCACAAAATCCAACCGATCCAGATCGTGGGCATATATGGTGCGATTATTCGAACAGTTTGTCACGCCCTGGCAGGGCACAAAGATCCAGGCCTTTTTGCTTGTCAAATCCGACAGATACTTGCAGTTCATGTGGCCACTGCCATTGATGAGGAGCGTTAGATTCGCTGGACCCGTCATCAGTATGGGCTTGTGATTCACACGATCGCTGACTATCAATTTTGTGGCATGACTGATGCAGCCCAAATCGTTGCACACTTCGCACGTGTAAATGCCCGAATCGTCCGGCACCAGATCCTCCATGGTGAGCGTCCAACGTATCTTCTTGAGATTACCATAGCTCCTCGACCACTCGCTCGTATCGTTGCGATACCATTTGAGCTTCAGTTCGGGACTGCCCAAGGCTGGACAGCTCAGAGTGAGCAGCGAACCCGATGGCTTGGTCTGCAGTGAAACCATCTTATTCAGGTTCTTCCAGTAGGGTTGTTTTTGTGCCGCCTTGGGGCTCTCTGCCACTATGGATTTGTCATCCTCTTCGCCATTGTTTTCCTCCGTTGGATTGTTATCTGTTGGATTGTTTGATGCTGGTGCTGGTGGTGATGGTGGCATCCTCTGTCGATTGCTAGCTGCCACATTATCGTAGTCCTTGAGCAGCTCTTGGGAGCTGGCAGGTGAGCGTCTAGCGGTGATTTGTAGCGGTGTCATTAGAACTAGTGAAAGCATCACAGCCCAGACAAGTCTTTTCCACATCATGATCTTCGAGTGACTGTTGTGGCGCGGCTGCCGTCTGCTGCTACTGTTGCTGCTGCTACTGTTGCTGCTGTTGTTGATGCCACTCCCGCCACTGCACATATCCATTTTTAGCATATTTATTTTTGTAACTTTTTGTATCGTGTGCACCCTCCTAAGTGCCACTCGCAACCAACAGCCAAGGGGTAGCCGATAGCAGACAACTGCAACTGCAACTGCAACTGCGACTCTGACTCCGACTCCGATTCCGATTCTGATGTTGTTGGAGTTTGTCGCATGTGTTTTTTATTCACCGGAAATCCACTTTAGCTTGGGGGTTCTGCCTTCAGCATCTGATCTGGATGTGCTCTGCTCTGCCGCTCTTTTTACGCTCTCTCTCCGGAAGAAGATCAGTGATCTTCTAGTTTTTCTAATTTATTATGGATATAACAACAGTTGCCTTCTCTTTAAGGGGCGCACCCCAACATGTGTTTTTGGCGCCTTCTTTGAAGTGATCACTCTCTCGTTGTCTCACTCTCTCTCTCTCTCTCGATGATGATGATGATGATCCTCCTTCACTTGATGATCCACCTTTTGTCGGGGCGTAACGGAAATCCTACTCTTCGATATATGTATCGTATTTATATGCCTTTTAATTATTGTTTTGGCTTGGTGCGATGTGTGATTTACTCAGTGAGTTGATGGATTTATGGCAGCCATCTTGTCACCAAAAGTGAGCTCCCAAATGCGTGGGCGCACACAAACACACACACACAGGCAGATACAAGACACAAGATACAGATACTACAAGTTCATAGATCATTCAGCAGCTGCCGGGCAAGATGCTTCGCCGTTTGATGTGACTGCTGGCTGCAACACCTGGAAGAATGCATTCGATTAGATTTATGTTCATTTCCGGCTGGGGAGCGCTAAGGTATTTTACATGCAACACCGCGGCATACACTTGCGGTCAAAATAATAGGGTTTATAATTTAGGGGGAATTTTTTAGTGTTTTTACTCATTTTTGATGGTATTTCTTTTGGTTTAGGGTTGCTTAAAAATATTATTAAAAAACTTTCAAGCGGAACTGGTTGAGATTTTCAGTTTAAATACAATTTTCTGTTAGTGCTAGGATAGTTAAAGAGTTATCTGATAGCTGACAATTGCTTTTAGATCGTTGAAGAATTAATTTTAGAAGTCTGTTAATTTTTGCAACGCTAAAAAAAGGTTTCAAAGATTGTTCCAAGACCATTCTTGGCTCGTTAATGGTCGTTACTGTAATGGAATCGCTAGCAGATCGTTCCTGGAACGTTGAAAGATCATTCAATTATCGTTCAGCGAAGTTTCTAGAACCCGCAAAGCAATCGGTCTTTCATATCTGGAAGATCTATACAAACTTTTCACCCAATTAGCAGCCAAAAACATAAATTTGTGTACATATGCCAAAAAGCCAAGCGGAAATAAAGCCGAATGTATCTCGGAAAGGGAAATCTATCGGAAAGGGAAATGTATCTGTGCATTCAACAGTAGCTGGCACATCCGTTTGCTGTTTTCTACGTTTGAATGAATTTCCTTTCAAAATTTGTTTACAAGCGAAAGTTCTGTTCTCGCTTTGAGGCAACAACAAACAAAATATTCTTCTTTATATTTTTTTCTCAACAAATTTGCAATGTATAAATCTCTGCTTTTTTTTGGACTTGACTTGATTAAAGGCCATTTCCATTTGGTGAACTTAATTAAAATGTCGCGCACATATCCGGTAACTTGTCCCGCCACTCGATCCTCTCTCTCCCACTCTCTCTCTCTCCCGCTCTGTATAATTCTCTGATTGGGGTTCAGCGCGTGCCATACTCGCAAATTGCAAACGATTGTCCATCCCATTCCACGCCCGCGGAATGAGCTCACAAGTTGAGATTTTTCATTTCATTTCATTTTGACTTTCGTTGAATATTTTATCGATTTTGAAAATAGCTTTTTATGACAGTGGACATTAAAGAGTGCCAGCCAGCAAATACTATCATTTTTTCTTTTATTAAAGGCCATTAAATGTTGACTGCAAATGAGCACCTTTTTGGGGGCAGCGAGTGAAACGATTTTCTAGGCAGTTTTTTATATGATATTTTCCCGGTGCTTGCTCGACATAGGAAATGATGTTGGGTCTAAGGAGCATTAAAAGGAACGAGAAATTGCTAATATTTGTACATCGAATTCTCTAAAATTATAGAGCTCTTCAGGGCTGGAATTTAAAGTTCTGAACAACACGAAAAGAATTTAAGTTTAAATTGTAGTTGTTGCTGAAGGGTTTAAATTATTCGAAGAATATTATCAGGGATTTTCAAACCTAAATAACAGCAGGCTCATCAAACGATTGATTAGTTTTTAAATTGTTGCAGTGACATTTTTTTTAAACGTTTTTAAAATTTGAGATGTCAAATTTGTTGAACCATTTTTTAAACGAAAGATTATTTTTAATTTTACAAATACAAATTTTAAGAGGATGTATTACTTTTTGTTATGGTTATTAACGATATCCATAGTACATATCCAATAAACATAAAAAGCGTCACCTCATTGAGTAGAAAACTATTAAGCAATCCCCTAAGAAAAAGCTGCGGATACATTCCTTTTAATTACATATACATACACATACATATGTACATCTGTATAATTCACTACTCCGAGGTTGCACTGCCTAAAAGAAAATAATAAAAATAACTATTCTCACAGAAACTTTCACTCTAAAAACTTTAATTAGTTCACTCACTACGAAGCTGCACTGTATATTGAAAGGTGTACTTTTAGCGTGCAGCGTGTGGAGCATAAGGCGCTGGGTGGCACCTACAGCTGCATGTACAGATGGATGTACATGTACATAATGTACATATTTGAATGGCATACAGCACAGCACAGCACCTACTGTTTAATGTTTCCCCTCTATTCTATTTTTTGCACAGTTCTCCCCCTCACTCACATCGTTTCGCTCACTGTATCCCCACGTATCTCCGTTTCTCTATTGGGGGAGAAGTAATTTTATTTTATTTTATTTTTCGCGTTTACAGAGACTCGCAATCGCAATCGAAAAGAAGACTGTTCCAAATAGCGCTGCGTAGTCCGTTGGACTGAAAACGATGTGCTTGTTTATGTGCCCAATGCCAATTTCATTTCAGTTCCGATTCTCAAATGATCATACGGTTTCTCTCTCGCTCTCTCCCTGCGTTGTCTCCTACGCGCGCTCTCTATGGATGTGCCTCGCTCTCTCTCGCTCCCACTCGTATTGTCCTATTCAATGCGCCGGCGTCGAGACAGAACAACTCAATTTAGTGGGCCCTCTCTCTCTCTCTCTCTCGAGTGCTTGTTCGCGCGTGTGTGTTGTGTGTGTGTGGGCTTCCACTTTTGCCGTTATATTTCCAATGCCTGCACTTTGTTGCGATACCCAGCAATCGAAAGGGAACGCTGAAGGGTATGCTGCGTCAGTGATAGGGGGTAGGTAAGAGGCGAAGGATTTTGTGGAGAAAAACTTCACAGCTTCGCCATTTCAGTCAAATCGATTGCAAAATTTATACAACATTATAATAGGAAATTATCCTTTGACAAAGTTCATTCAATTTAAACTTTTTCCTAAGGAAAACCTTCATACATAAACCTAAATCTGAACCAAATCGAATGAATATATTTATTTATGTATTTATTATATGTATGTGCTCCCATGTTAACTTCCTTCCACTACTCTTTCCAGGGTAGCAAAAGCTTCGTCCCTTAGAGGTCACCACCCACCCCCCTACCAGGGGTACATGTTTTATTTTGTTGGTCGTTGCCTTTTGCTTCCCGCATCTTTTTTTTTTGTGTGCCTTTGCCTGTGCCTCTTTTCGCTTTCAACGGTCGCCTTGCCTTAATTTTTCACATATGCCTCGATCTGTGTGTCTCCCCCGCCGTCTCCCCACCACTACACACTCTCACTGCCCAGCACCGTCTACCGTCTGTCTGTATCTGTCTCTCTCTCTCTCTCTCTCTCTCTGACGCTTAATTAAAACAGACACAGTTGCTGGTCTCTCAGTGTGTGCGCTGCTCCGGCTGCTGGCTGGCAGGCTGATCTTTTTCCACAGCCCACATCTGGCGGCGCAACGAAAAAATTAAAGAAATTAAAAACAACAAAAACGCAGTTGTGTTCTTACGATTCTGTCCCTGTTTTATGTGGCCTTCTCTGCCCGCGCCCTCTGGCCACGCCTACACAGTGCGTCGCGCACAAGGGCAAATATTGTTTCGGGTTGCAACTATTGTTGACTGCAGCAGCAGCAACAGCAACAGACCCAAAACCCAGACGCAGACGCAGTCTCGCATTCACCCATCCAACATGTGGGCACATCATCATCATCAGCAGCAGCAACGGTCGGGGGCAACCATTCTACCTAAGTTCGTGCCACCACACACATGTGTTGCACAGACATCCTCCTCCTCCTCCTCCTGCTCGAAATGGCGGAAGGGCGCGACAAACCAAAATTGATTCTTAATGTACATGAAAAAAACCCGAGGAAAAACGAACACCAAAACTCACGAAGGGGTTAACCAAAAACTTGGATTTCCAGTAAAACTGCCGAAAAATCAGAAAGTTTTCCCTTGCGAACGGGCTGACCTTCACCTGCATTGAAATAACCCCGAAAAACACACACAAAAATTTTCCTTAGTATATTTCCTGTCCAGCGGCGGTTAAAATTCCCCAAAAAAATAAACACACACGCGAAAATATTTGCAATAATTTTCGGTGCAAAATAAATATACAAAACACAACAAATAATCCATCAGAGAATCGTTTGGATGGGGGGTACACACACACACTTTAGCCATAGGTTTGCCTTTGTGGGTGGTGCACCCTCTCCTCGCCAAACCCAATGGTTGCCACTTCCACTTGCCGCTGTGCGGACGCACTTGATAGGCAACCCCCTTCATGCCACAGATATATGTGGTGTGGAGACCGGCACGAGTCTGTAATTTTGAATGGGTTCATATGCCCAGAGAGTACGTACGAGTGGCGAGTACGTGACAGCGCGAAGGTTGAAGACATCACGAGAAGGTGAGAGAGACAGCCAGGAGGCAGACGGCAGGGCGGTGCAGCAGGCAGCGAAAATGGCAGATCAAAGTATGCCGAAAGGTTCTACTAGATCGATAGGGATCACAGAGTGTATGGAATAAAATAAATAAAAGAAAAATTAAAAAAAAAAAATGCATGAAAATCGAAGGAA